TCAAATGCTCAACTGGTAATAGGTGGGATGGAATAGAGCAACTGAGATGCCATGAATTTAAAAAAAAAATCCAAACCAAAATCAAGAATAAAAGAGGGCATGAAATCCCAACAAGCTTACAAAAACATTTATCTCTAGGCCTCTGTTTCTTCTGTTCCTACTTCTGTTTTGAGAAGACAAACACCTATCACTTGTCTGTACCCTAAGAATGTTGTCTAGGCATTTCTTATCTCCGCTCACTGCTGAATTTCAACCATTTAGTACTCAGAGTATGTACAACCACAGTCCTACTTAGACTCAACATGGAGTGGCTTGCAGGCCTGTGGTGGGCCAGTTCCACACATATAAGACATCATCAGGATTTCAACTGGCTCATGAACACAGACAAAAACTTTGTTGCATCCTTCAACCTTCTGCCTAGAGCAGTCATCGAGTATCTGTGCCACCCTCTTCTACTAGCTCAAGAACCTGATCCACCAAGATTATTACAGTGCAAAACTCTCTGTTTTTAGCAGTTTCTTCGATTTGCATAAGGATGTTAACGTGCCTGAGCTTGATGGTTACAGAACGAAAATAAAAGGGCTCAGGAAATGTTTTAATTAATGGTGGCATGAGAATTGTATCTATCCTGCATACACACACTGGCAAACGGTAGACAAGCTGACAGAATATAACCTTGCAGGAAATGCAATGCATATCTGAAAACCTTCTTCCTTGCAAAGATAACATTAACGATTGTATTTCTGGCTACTGTTTCTCTTTCCTTCAACATACATGTTTTTCACAGATTGCCTCTTCATTCCTAAAACTGAAACTTTAACATTCCATGGAAATAAGAGAAAGAATGAACTGGAAGCATGTGACTGTAACAATGTCACATATAGGTGGCATAATATTGAAACTCAAATTAATAATTTCATACTTGGGATTTTTAACTCTACATTAGAGCAAAATTTGTCTTAGCCAACCCATGAAAGGATGAAAAAAATACACATCTTTAATCAGATGGCCCTTTAACAAAGGTGAAATAGACTTCTCATGAATTAGCACAGGGAATTTTGAAAAATCTCTGGAGACAGTAATTCGCCTAACATTTGGAGAAGTTTTGTTGTACCTATTGCAGAGTTTGTTGAAGATTATATCAGATAAATTCTATTTTTATATATCTCATACTTATCAAGTACAAAGCATAGAACAAAACATGTGATATGAAGAAGTCTCTCATTGCACTGAATCAGCCAATTCACTAAAGATACTGTTCTTTAACTACATAAAATCACTAAGTCCTAAAAATGTAAATAATTATTTTGTTATCTAAATTTTATGAAACATATAGATGACTGTAATTATTTAATTTCAAATGTCTGAAGACTGTTGTTACTTATTTCCTTTTTAGAATACTAAAAAAATCTAACTGTGAGACTCCTTTGATCATCATATACTTATGTAATTACACAGTTCAGTTGAACAAAAACACCACAAAAACTCTTCACTATTTATAATGAGCAATCTTTAAAGTTCACCCTTCTTTTTCTACACTGGCTAGTTAAAGATTTTATCCATTTAAGTGGAGAGCTTCATCATATTTTTTCTAAATATAAAGCATGAGCTATTTTCAGGCCACTCAAAGAAAGTCTCGGTGTATAATATCAAACTCTTTGATTTGTTGCTGGCATATGCATTGCAAAATGTCATCTTGCACTGTTTTTAATGGTCATGGCCAGAGAATGCTTATGATCGTTACTGATTTAGATCACTGATTTCTTCACACTCAAGATCACTTCAGTATACAAAAGCAGAGAACCTCTATTGACTTTAATTTTGAAGAACAGTATCTCAGACTAAGCCTTCTCTTTCCTCTGAAAAAGTCAATCAGATTAGTAGTGTGCACTCATACAGCTCTCAATGAATATAAACTAGAAGGAAGTTGTCTATGTGCTATGCAGAATTGTACAGGCAACTCTCAGTTGTATGTGGGTGTGTAACCCAGGTTGCAGATTAGCAGTGCTATGCTAAAACAAAGCAGGAAAAAAAGGAAAAACACCCACCATTCTTCTTTGAATTTCTGATCTCACTTTTTACTCCATCTTAACTTCATTCCTTGATAAATGTAATACACATAGGAAATTCTTATCTAATGCGGACATGCTTTGTATTACCTATGTGTTAGCTCTATGCAGGTTAGTCTACTCCATTTATAGCTTCAATAATTGAGAGCTGACTGTGTAACTATGAGAGACCAGCAACCCACCTTTTTATTCAACATTTGCTAAAAACCAATTGCTTGTTGAAATACCTCCCTAACTCACCTCAAAAATCATCAGTTCCCTTTTATATAATTTTTTTAAACCCATGTGTAATAACAGCTTGCTGCAATACTGGATTCTTGTTAATATAAATAAAATGTGGACATGCTTGAAAGGCAAAGCAAAAGCAATACAAGTGAACAAACACAATGCACCTAAAAGCAGACAGAGTGGACTCCTCTGTCCCTAAGGCCTAGAGACTGACAGAAAGCCATTTTATAATAAGATTTTGTAGCTGTACCAAAAAACTTGCATTTATTAGCTAAATGTACATTTTATTTATTTAGAGGGTCATTAACACCAAATACGCTTTTAAAAAATAATATGCCCTTGGGCAATGTAACAAAAACAGTGGTTTCATTATGAAGGATTTGAGAAACTTGTTTCCTGCTGTCCCCTCCCAATTCTCATTTTCCTCCGCACAGCCGAAACCGGATCTGCTTCATGACCAAAGACAAAAGCCAGAGATACCCAGTGCACTAGCCAAGTGCCCTGAGATGATGACTCCATGAGCTGCAAAACCAGCTGGAAGGAACTGGCGGTCCCTCTCTGTCCTCAGGAAGGGAACGCAGACACTGACAAACACTGGGAAGGTGCTGCAGGATCTTATCTACTGGGGAGGAGGGATGGCTGACATACTTCTCAAGGAGCAGGATAAATACAACACTCAGTATAGGAAACATTTACTCTTGTAGAAGGATTGATGGAGAGGCTGTCAAAGGACTGGTGGGGCTAGAGAGGGCAGGAAAGCAACAGGGGCAGACAGCTTTTTCTCCAGGGAATTTGTTCTTACTCTTTTTTTGTCATCAAAAAATTAAAACTGTTAACTTCACATTACCCATGAGCATTAAAGATCAACGCAGATATAAAACAGTGTGATAATCTTTGCTATTCTGAAAAGAGTAACTACCAGCCCTGTATTCTAGCTTTGGCAATAGCTTAGCTCCTGTACTAAAATGAAAGCAAAAGGTTTTTCATATTGTGACACAACAGCGTGTGAATTGGAATGAATCTTCTTGCTCCTTTGAATTTATACCTTAATACATTAGTTTTGATATGCTGACTAGGATCAAAATGACACTGATGACAAAAACTGCAAGCACTGCTTTAATTCATGCACACATATAGTTCTTGTAGGAATCTCTCTAAACTACTTGACATTCTGTGCCAGTGAGTTCCATTGAGTAATAACTTTGCATAAAACGTTACTTCATATGTTGGCTTTTAATTTCACTGAACATCCCCTTGTCCTTTTAATGCTGGAGAAAAATAAAATACTTCTGTCACAAGACTTCTTACTGGAACAATTATAAAAATTCACTAAAGAAAAAGTACCTGTCCTCTGTCAGGTAGTAATACAGTTGTGTATTTTCATATAGCCAAAGGAATTATATTCATATCAAAAGAAAAACATTTATCAAAATATTTGCTTTCAGACTTATTTACTGTTTATTATTTTAATTTACATCAGTTACTGCTTGCAAAACTTCCAGGGAAATATTTTTAATTTTTTTTCTCTTTTCCCACTGCATAGTAAATACAGCCTTCTTAGTATTTCAGAAGCATAGTACTACAGAAATGTTAGGGCCTGCTTCTGCTATGAATGAAGTTAATGGGAAAACACCAACTGACTTTATCAGGAGTTAGGTCAGGCCCCAGATTTGCAGCTTTTGAAATTTTGTAGTTGAAAATTTTCTGGCTAATCCTCAGAACTGACTACTTCTACAACTATAACATTATTTACAACTTTATTTATATGTACTTCTTTATTACAATATGTAATATCTATGTTCCTTGTAAAGGTTACTATTTTATAGAAATTAGACTGAAGTTATTGCCAATCAACCTTTTAATAAACTTAAGTGGGATGACTTTCAGAATTTTTCTCAACATACAATTCAGTTTTTATTCCTTCTTGCTATCTCTGAAAACTGCTTAACTACCTTAATTTCAAAGCCTTTTTCAGTGTAATAAAAATGTCCTTTTGGTAGAAGTTTATTGGTCCCATTTCAAATTACGTTCTAAAACATTCTTATACTGATGAGGACTCATTATTTTAGCAATTTTTCTGTTTCAACACAGTATATAAAGCCATGCCTCTCAACCAATCAACCTCAGTATAAAAGTGTATGTGAGGTCAAACAGATTGCTCATCAAATCTTTGATCAAGTTGTCTGATCACATATAGACACAACTGTCTGAATTGTTGCATATGTTGTATAATGTTATCATACAAATTTAAGTATTTCCATTATTGACTACTGCTTGTGTATTTATATATTAACTTGCTGGTCATAAAACTGCAACAAAGGACAAGATATACCAATACTGAATTAAGACCTCTAGTTTTACCTCTCCCAAAATTAAGAAAAATCTGTGTTTTATGATTGACCAACTCATGATGTTGTGCTTCAAATATACACATATTCCAAAATTAAACTGTGAAGCTAATGTTAAATACTGTGTTGTAACTTTAAATATAACTGACATATTAGAACAGATAGATGGGTAATTATGATAAACTACACAATAGTGCTACTGTAGATAATATAATTTATCAATCCTGTGGTCCCCACCATTCATGCATTTACAGTTTGGGAATACAGTGACTGCAAAGGATAATAATTCATAATGGCTACATTCTCAGTACTTCATGCTAGCTCACTAGACAAAATAAAAAAGGTTAATTGTATAACTGGAAAAATGTAAAATTTTATTCCAAGAAAATTAACAAGCTACACAGGTAAATTTTGGCAAATGCAACTTTATATTGAAATCCACACATCTGTATCTGAAAGAAGGAAAGACTCACAGACTCTAATGTATTTCTAAAACACTAAGAAATCATAGTATATGCTTTCACAAGTTAAAACTTAAATAATTTAAAACAACCAATACACCAAAATGTGCAGAAAATATAAACAAGACTGTGCCTTCAGTAGAATAAATGCTTCACAAATTGTGCAAGATATCATACTAAGGCTGCGGTCTCCCCATGACAGCTGTCTCAAAATATAAACATACATCAACTGCCTGTGTTTCTCAGAACAAACCAGAAAGGGCGGCACACCTAGAAAAAAATCATATAATCCCAGTGATGTGCATATTGATTTTGGGAACCATTGGAGTAAAAAGGAAAAAAGAGGACTAAGTGATCTTTCATGCACTCCCAAATGACTGACCAGAGTTATTGATTCAATTTTCCTTGCTTATTTGCTTCAATGCTAAACAAAATGGAAGATACTAGATAACCCTTTAAGGCAACATGTGTTTATTCTGTATAATTATAACTCTTCAATTATGACTGGATATTGTTGTTAACGTTGCCTAACAGACTGATATCTAGCTTTTTAGAAAATATAAATAAGAGTCTATTAAACTTTATACCAAATCAGCAAAAAACACAGAATACAGTTAAATGTTAGTAATTTCACTGTTAAGGAAAATGGTATTTAGAAAGAGTAATATATTTGGAAAAAAAATTAAATTCGAAATCTGAACAAAAATACTGCTTTGGAATGCTCCTCAAAACTTACTCACAAGGCAAACAGATTTGTAAGTGTGATAATCCAATAATGCATGGCACATCTTTAATCAGTTACAGTACTTGAGTCCCCAGTTTTCAGTCTTTGCAAAATAATAATTGTATGAAATGTTTTAAAGGTCTTCAGATGTCTAAAATTAGTTTTATCAACACATTAACCTCATATCAACTTAATTTATTAAGATGTCCAATGCTAATCTTTCTGATGTTCTTATTTTATGTAGTGATATACACAGCATTTAGCACTGATACTTAGCACCTGCTACTTTCATAATCTAGATTTCAACCACATAAAGGAATTCAGGGCAGTAGTTCAGTCCTTTGTTCTTAATTACAAACCTTCAGCAGTGGTCAGCAGGAACATGTTTAGGTTTAAAACAGGATTAGAGGTGAGCTATTGCAAAGACTGCAGAATGTTGCCCAAATCCTTACAGCTGCTGACATCCCATTCTTGATTTTCTCCTCAAGACATGGCTACAGGCCACAATTGCTTAGCAGAGAATGGTAGTGTTTCACAAGGCTAAAGATTTACAGATGCTCCCTCATATAACACAGTAAGGTTCCCTTGGTAACCTGGATTTTCTGCAGTAAAGAAGGGTTGTGCTGAAACAGCGCCTCAGCTCCCTGTTGGAGAAAATGCAGACAAAAGGATTGATTCCAGCTTGGGCAAAACTCATCCAGACAGCGGCCGTTAGAAATCCCCCAGGTACTACAGGCCCTCTTGCAAAAACTCTCCAGTAACAGGCTACCAAATAGGGACCCCACAAGGTCAGAAAGAGAAATGTCATGATGTAGAACATTCTGCTGATTCTCTTCTCCATTTTGAACTCATCTAAAACCAGTAGCCTCCTCCTGCCCGTGGTGTTCGCATTTTGCCTGATTCCCAACAAGGTTGGAGGTGTGGGACCCCTTCCGAATCCAGCCAGCCAATTAGCAGCTGCTTGACCACTTGCTCCAGGACCATGAAAAGTCCAGTTCTGGCTCACTGCTGCAACAAACTGGACTGGCTTCATTTTCCTGCGATCGTGAACAAAAAATATCAGCTTGAGGTAGACAAGCTGTGTGGCTAGGAGGATAAGGGCAAGAAGAAGCATAAATCCCAAGGAATCATTAGCCCTGAAGGAACGATGCTGGAAAGTGCATTGGTCTTCCTCCCTAATGAACGAGTAGGTGCCCACATCTAAAACTGGGGGGAAAGCCATGGCTACAGAGAGAGTCCAAACCATACAGATAACAGCCAAACAAGTCCAGAAGGTCAGTCTTTTCGTATAAAAACGGTGGTGGGCAATAGCTAAGTATCTTGTGACGCTTATGCAGAATAACATGAAAGCAGTGTGAAAGCAGGACAAAACCCCCAAAAAGGCAATCACTTTGCAAGTAAGAGTCCCATACGTCCAAGTAGAGCCATTTTTCACAGAGGTGAAAACAAATGGGAAACAAATTGCAGATCTGAGGATATCTGAGCAGCAAAGATCCAACAGGAAGTAGTAAGGAGCTCTATGCAAGGTCTTATCTTTGACTAGCAAAATGGAGATCAGAAGGTTACCCACAACACTGACTCCTATTATGAAACCCAGTGAAGTCAGTTTCAGAAAAGCTGTTAAAGGAGAGAGATTTTGTAAAATGTTGTCAGCTGCATGGCTGTAGTTCGCCATAGATGGATGGATGATATGTATATTGCCTCAGTCAAGTCTCATGATCTATATTTAAGAACAAGGAAAAAATAGATCCATACATCTTACTGAAAATGTAATCCACAAACAGAACTGATCTTGTGTCTAGTCATACAGTACATCCTCTTCTTTCTGATTTGTCATGCCATCAAAATATCTGAAAAAAAACGAGCTATCAGTTCTTAAGTTAACACAAAATGATGTCAGAAAGTGCTAACAAAGATGTTAATTTATGGAGAACCAAATGAAGTTGTAAATTTGAGTACTATTGTTTGTTTTTAAAAATCATGAGGCTTTTTTTAAATATACTTACTCTTTAGTATGATTGATTATTGACAGATTTGGCTTATTACAGTTTCCGACTGACCAATGCCCCTTATATTTGGTAGCACATATAATGTCACAGTGAAAGCCTCAGAGATTTTATGAATCAAAAGATTCCCAGTTTGTGAGCCCAAGAGTTAATCACTGACATCTTTTTTAAAAATCCCCAAAGAGCACTGATATTTTGACATTACCTGCATTTATTTTATGTCTACTGTATTTGTCAAGGTTTTAAGAGGCAGCTGCTATGTTGATATGGATCACACCCAAAGAAAGCCTGCAGAATTTATGTTTTTTAACCCAAATCACCAAAGCACATTAAGCACAGTGTTAGTTTATGCATATTGTAAGAGAAGCAGCATTCATGATCCCCCTCCCTTCCTTCTATAAACTATAATTTTATCATTTAGGCTTTTAGATAAACAGGTATCCAGACAGTCGATAGCAGTATGCTTTAGGGTGTCGTTCCCCCCCTCCCCCGCTTTAATGCAAATCGTTAAAGCCTCGACATAATTCATAATAAGCAACGGTCAGTGTAAATACTGAGCAAAAATAGGCAACGCAGCCAAGATTTAATGCCCATCCTTTTGGGAGGGCTAGTTTTGGTTATGCTTAGATAAACATATAAATTGATATTTTTTTTTTAGCTAATTAGGGCTCCGCGATTCCCACTAATCCTCCCAGTGAATCCTACCGGAACACGTTTCATGCAATAAAATAAAATAAAGAACTGTCTGTTGCTGGGGGTTTTGGGGGTTTGTTTTTCTTTTTTTCTCCCTCCAGAGCCAGGGACAGGAGCCACAGCAGTCCTCCGTTATTCACACGAAGTGTTTCCTATGCCACCTCGGGTGTACAAAGGATATTCCCACTGAATCCCAGCAAAAATCCTTCCATTCTTACCGTCCACAAAAGAGCCTGATTGCTGCTGTGTAAACAGAGGCTGATCAGATCATGGCATCGTTTTAAAACCATGAAATCAGGCTCCCCCTCCCCCTCCCGGCCAGCCCGCCGCTCCCCCTCTCATCCGTGGATTGTCCCGCGGCGGGCCGGCCCTGCCTCCGCACACACTCCCGCACGCTGCACACCCGGCGCTCTCTGGCACCCTCACACCGCCGCTGACACACACATACACACTCACGGGCACAGCCGCTCCCCCTCGCCCCGCCATGCAGGGCTGGACTGCGCCGCACTGCAAGGCAGCCCGGGTGCCGCTGCTTGGCATCAGCCGCATCTGCCGGAGCCGTGCGAGAGCCCCCCGCGGCGGGGAGCTGGGGTGAGCGGAAGAGGCATTGTCTGTGAGCGCTTTCATCATGCCGCTTCTTTGGAAATCACCCCCCAGGCCCGCTCCCTGAGCGGAGGAGCCCTCCCCGCACGCACCTGCAGCCGCGGCAGCCCTCGGTGCCCCCAGCCCCTCTCCTCCTACCTGTTGGTGCCGGAGATCCCCACATGCCAGAGCTGCTGCTTGCCGCCGACCGAGGGCTGCTTTATCCTGGCGGTCTTTTCTATTCTCCTCTGCTGTCTTTCATGCTTCTTTCAATCCTTTTCCTTTTTTTCCCTTTTTTTT